CAGTATGGAAGCATGCTTTATTACACTTCATTTGTTGCTTGCAATCCTGTCAGGTTGCTACATCCACAAGGAACCAATGTCATCAGTCCAATCCGACTTCCCCATTCCCCTACCCTTTGTAACATTCAGGGATCTTAGCTTTCCCTCAGCTTAATGGCACAATTATGTTCTAAATAATACCCTACATTCTGGCTTATTAGTTACCTATTGCTAGTTACCTAATCTGCATGTTTTATCCTGTCAGAATACAGTTTTAATACTCATCCATATGTGCATGAGAATGATAAATGATCATGCATAGTAATACCCCAGCCCCAATTTTTAAAAGATCAGCCTGGGGAAGGCTGAATAACTGTTTTCATTGGCATCACTCAAAGATCAAAATTATGACAAGAAGTCCATCACAGTTTTTGTTATTGGGTGTAATAAATAAATAGTGTTATCTCTCAAAAGAAAAATCCCTATGGTATAGAGGTTTTTTTACCTGTAAAATACAGTGGTACCTTGGCTCACGAACTTAATCTGTTTCACAACTCTGGTCGTGACCCAAATTGGTTGTGACCCAAGTCAAATTTCCCCATAAAGTTCAATGTAAATAAGGTTAATCTGTTCCGTAACCAGTTTTTTTTAATCTCAAAAATTTGAAATAAAGTGACAAAGAACTAAGTAACAAAGAACAACAAAGATCGTGGCCATCTCCCGCCCTGAGCATGGGCACGATCGCGGTCACACTCATGCAGGGAAGATGGGCACAATGTCACCCAATGTGGAGTTTGCGACCAGAGGCAATTTTTTTCCTGAAATTTCTGTTTGCGACCCGATTTGGTCATGGACTGAGGCGTTCGTGAGGCGAGGTACCACTGTATATCAGCTGGATTGTTTGCATGTTACAAGGCTGTGGGTTTGATTCTACATAAAAATTCTTGTGCTAGTGCCAGAAGACCCCAGGGAGCTGCAGGGCTAGTATGGGATCTTTTAAAGCAATACACATGTTTGTTGCTTTAAAGACTCATGGCTGCGGTCTGAACTCCCCCACCAATAGCAAGTCAGGGAGAAATGCCTAGGCTAGAACCCTTCTCTCATTTTTTTAGCTTTCTATGAACAGGGAAGTAGGTTTATTTTTAATATCGGGGGGGAGGGGGTATAAGGTCATGCAAGTCACTACTTCATCCCAAGTATTACTGTCTAGGGAAAGTTTTTTCATGTGATCTGCCAAGGACCAAACAAGACGAAAAAGCTTGAGAACAATGCCTGGAATTCTCATGCTAATGGGCTGTTATCTTTAATATGGCAAATGCAGTCATGGGAGAGGAATGCTGTGTCCATGTGGGTGCATGCACATTTGTGTGTGTGTGTGTGTGTGTGTGGGGAGGGGGTATTTGGATTATTACAACAACACTGAAAAGGAAGGTTTAGCCCAATTCCTATTTTTTTCAGTTAAAATAATCTCCATATGGAAGCTGTTCTTTGCCCTAATGTTTTAATTGTATTTTGTTCAATTGTATCCTAAGACTCAACCTTTTCATCTACATAAGATAGAAATTTGGAGCAATATTTTGCTGTAAAGTCATTCAGCTGCAACCTTTACTGATCTTGGGTGATCATATGTCCACACAATGTAAAATTAACGTGATTGTTTTCTTTATGATGCTGCATCGCACCACAGAGGCAACTTATTTGCCTCTCACCCACTAAATGTTTGTTATATTAGTGCAAGATATACTGATAGCCAATCACCCCAAATGTATAGAGCTTATTATAAATTCAGTCTGATTATCTGTTTGGGAATTTTAGGACAGGACAGAATGAAAGTAGAGGTATTTATTTATGCCAAAACAGGAATATACATACAGGAATAATTTTTAAAAAGCAGTCCTAAAAAACACATTAGGCAAGCCAATGAGTTTGTGCAACCAGGCAGGATTAATTTATTTTAGCAAGAAGCTGATGCAGATGAAATTTAACAAGTCAGTACTGTGTGTGGGTGTACCAGACTGTCCCACCCAGTCATCAAGAAAGAGGGCTTTAAAAAGATTGTTCCATGTTTTCCCTTTGTCAGGGAACATGTGAAGCCAGCTTTTGACCTCCATCAGTACAATATGTAACCAGTTTTTTAAAAAATCTGATGTCATAATTTAAATAACACAAATAAGAATTTACTCAGACAAAGGGTTTAAAGCTATGATTATTTTTAAGAATTAAAGTGGTAATATAAAACTTTAGGGTTATACCTGTCACTGTCCTTCTACCAGCAGAACAGACACTACTGGTGGGTCTAATTTCCCCTCCCAAAGTACCATCCCCAGGATCTGTTCCATAGGGTTGATAACCCTCAGGAGCAGGTTTTGGCTGGACGCAAACAAACAAAATAGAGAAATATAGGGTATTTATGTTCAGTTGCAGAAAGAGCAGTAAGTCCATTGAATGATAGGTAGTGGGTGTTTACCCTTCCAGGCTTGGTGCATGAGTCTCCTTGCAATTGGTAGGCTCTCCACACCCATGTTGTTGTCCATCTGTTAATCCTCACTTCACAAGACAATAATTTCTAAGGACATGAATACCTGTAATTCTCACAGGTTTTTCAAAAACTGAATTTATTCAGGCAGAAACCTCCAGTCAAAAAAAGCAACTATGCTACATCATATGCTTCAGTGACACATTGTTTGCATTACAACAACCAGCATCTAGCAGAGCAAGACATTTTCTTTTTAACCAGCTTCTGTGGTGTTCAATATAAACAAAATTTCACATTCTGTTGACTTGACCTCAATTTTAAATCAATAGAAATAGCATATATGGAAGCTGAAACAACTTTTCATTAATTAGAGTCTACAGAGCATTTCAATTCTCAATTCCATTCTTCTCCAGCATACCGAACATCTATCTTATTACATTCCAAAAACATTTATAGACAATTATTGTAGGCTAAGCTTCCAGTAAAAACATAATAGATTCCTTCAACAATATAGGAGGTGCTGAAGTACTACTTATTGTTGATGTCTCAAAGACAGACACCAAAGCTGTTATGAATTTATTGCCACCCTGCACGTTGATTAGTAGCATCTACTAAAACTATAAATCCCACTATCAACTGAATGCCTTTACAAAGAATACTTTCTATTTTCAGATCAGGGTTCCCCCATAAATTTAATTTAACATGAGAATATGTACAGAAAAGGGCAACTAAAATGATCAAGGAGATGAAACAACTTCCTTAAAAGGAAAAGTTACAGAAGCTTAAATTGCTTAGCTTAGAAAAAGGCAAGTGAGGGGAAACATGACAGAGGTGCACAGAACTTACGTGTGGCATGTAAAAACTGGATAAAGAAATATTTTCTCCCTTTTTCATCATATTAGAACCCAGATTTATCCTATGAAGCTGACTAGTGGAAGACTGAGGACAGATAAAATGGTAATTTATTATGTGCTATTGTATTTCATTGTATTTTATCGTGTTGTAAGCCGCCCCGAGGTTTCGGCAAGGGGCGGCATAGAAATGTTATAATAATAATAATAATAATAATAATAATAATAATAATAATAAGAAATACTTCTTCAGAGAGTGCACAGCTAAACTATGAAATATCCTTCTACAAGATGTAGTCACCAATTTAATGACTTTAAAGGGGGCTTAACAAATTTATGTAGGATAAGGCTATCAATGATTACTAGTCCTGATAGTGATATACTTCCTTTAATATTAGAGGCAGTATGCCTATGTACACTAGTTGTTGAGAAACACAGGTAGATGGGGGTCCTGTTGCACTCATGTGCTGCTTGTGCATTTCTCATGATCTGCCACTGTGTAAACAAAAGTCTGGACTAGAAACACAAAAGATTAGATAAACCTGTCATCAGATTCTGCCCAGCAATTCTTATATTCTTAAGACACCACATTATATGCCATATCACTCTACAGCTGACATTACACGTGCAGATTATTACATGTTTATTGTTTACAAAGTTTAAAATTAAAAATGCATCACAAAAACCATTTACACACAAATATATAGACAGAAAGCACACAGAGATACACATATATCTACAGTAATTTTAAACAATCTACAGTAAGAAAGATCCAGGACATAACTAAAACCTCATCATATGCTGGCAAATGATGATAATGTTGGTGCCAGGCAAGCCTCATCAGAGAAATAATTCCATAATTGCAGGGGTGGGGGAATCATTGACAAGACCCTTTTTCTTTTTGCTGCCTTCTGGGCCTCTCTCAAAGGAGGCACTTGGCTGAGCACATTGGAGGAGGCACCCGGGTTTCAAGGAAGGGGTCTTTCCTTGGGCCTTTTTTGAACCAAAAGAAAATTCTAATCCATTTTCACAAAATTCCTGTGGAAAGCCAAATTTTTCTGAAGTCACAACCATAAGCTGCCAATCTAATTTGTCAAATGCTTTTCCACACCAAATATAAAAAGCAACCAAATCTTTTATTTTAGTAAAAATAAGTGACTGGATATAATACAAAACTTAAAATTATTTGCATCCTGCACTTGACAAATAAAACCTCCTTGATCAGGATGCATGAATATATGTTTCATATAATAAATACTGCTAATATTTAGCATTCACATTGATTAAAGAAATTTGTCTATAATTCACACAGTCAGTATGATCTTTCCAGGCTTTGAAATAACAAAAATATAATCTTAAAATAATGCTGGTAAAGATCTTGATTCAAGCCCCTTACAATAAATCAGGAAAAAGTCATTATTATGATTACGTATTCATTTTATGTTGTTTAAAATTGATCTGTTATACTTCCTAGAGATTGCTTCATCAGACATGCTCTGTATAACAACTCTGATCTTAGAAAAGTCCCTCTTTTTCTCTTACTGTATCACATACTGGATTCTTTTTTTCTTTAAGTGTTTGATGGAAATGGTAACCTGCTTTACATTTCATTCAGAACTCCTTGATCAATATTTGTTTTTATCACAAACAATAACAGTAAGAAGTCAAAAAGAGATACTGTGAAGTTTACTTACTAGGAACTCCAGATACCAGTCGTAAGGGACGTAATACTCGGAAAGCCCGAAGTGCTTTAACATCAAATCCGGCACCTTTGCCTCCCATTGAATTTACCCCATCTGCTTTGGTTGCTTGTTCTAAAATTGCACTAAAAAGCCTGTAAGTGGAGGTAGAAAGAAGAAAGAAGGAATACATTAGTAGACTGCATGGCTCAAAATAAAAAAAGACTTTGCTATGTTACATATTTCATATACTGCATATGACACAAAAAAAGAAGCTTTGTTTCCATCAAAGATATAGAGGCTAATTTTAGTGTATAATGAGTTCCTCCTGTTGCTGAAAAAAAATGTTACCCGAGGAATTTCAAATCTTGACCTTAACATCTTTCAGGCTCCTGTCCTAATTTTAAAGAAATAAATGTTTCACATAACTAGAACTGCCATGAGAATTTCTCCTAAAGTAAATTTCAAAGTAGATATGGAATTTCTTCCTCCAATGATATTTCAGAACCATTGGGAAGTGGGAGAATTGTTCTTCAGTAAAGCTGACAAAATTCCTTGATTGGTGGGATGTTCAGACACCTACATGTGGGAAAGAGACATGCAAAGGCAGCTAAGCAAATATTTACATATAAAAATAAAGAGCAAGTCACTGCTTGTATCAATGGACTCTCTGTGCAAATCCTGGACCATTGTCAGATGGTTAGAGTAAAATTAGCTAGGGGCATAGGAAATCTATTAGCAATTTTTTTTGCCTAAAAGTAGGTGCAGATTGGGTGTAATTCTTGAAGTCCCTATTACATTTGAGAGGATATATACATTCACTTTTATTTATTTAAAGTATTTATATGCCATCCCATTGCAAAAGCCTCTTGAAATTTTACAGGGTGAGGGAATTGGAAGAGATAAATTGGAGGAAAGGGTAAGAAAATATGCTTAAAAGTCAGTACTCCAGAATCACTAGTGCAATCCAAAAGTCCTCCAGAGCAGCTGTTTTTAAGTAAAGAAAAAGGTGTTGAGGAAATCTAATCACTGACCAGCCACAACATGTACCCATTGGATTAGTAATACTTATATTTATTCTAAATGTTTATTATATGTATGGGGTCTGAGCCACAAACACTCTACAACAGTGATGGGTGAATGAGTTAATTTTAGTTTCAATTTTTCATTTTTAAATTAACGTCCTTAGCAGTTTGAGAAAAAAGTTAATATGAAATTTTGAAGGTGCATCTCTGCATATATGTTCTCCTTATACACACATTGTTTCAATTGATTCCCTTTAATATATGAACTTTAATGCTATTCTGAATGTTTTGTGCATACTGTCTCCTAATATTAGATATTTGCATTGGAGAACTTCTCTGCAAAAATTGAAGTGCAAATTTCAAAAGAGGAATGAATTTGGATGTGCAAAATTAGACAATTTGCATTAAAATGAAAACTAAACAAATTTATCCTGTATCCCTGGGCCTTTACGTACATTAAATGAAAAATTTTCATATGCTAAATTTCTGTAAGTGAAGCATATCTTAAAAACACAGGAGCGCTATCAGAAAAAAGTAAGACATCAATGAACTGATCATACTGACATAATATTCAGCTGCCAGAAATGGTGTTTTTTTCTTAAAAAGTAACATCACACACATGAAACACACATGGATACTCACCCTACTACCACAATTATAAAATCTAGTAAATTCCAGCCATTGCGGAGGTAAGCATTAGGGTGAAAGAGAAGTCCATATGCTATTACTTTTAAAAATGCTTCCACTGTAAAAATTATGAGAAAGAGATATTCCACTTGTTCCTGCAGAGAGAAAAAAAACATGAAACAGTGTGGTTTATTTCACGCAGTGGAAAAATGGCAATAAAACACTATCCCTTCTCATGGGAAGGGGGAAGATTCCAAGATTTGTGCTACCAGCACCCTCACAGGACATACATAAAATCAATGCAATGTTTCTTCTTGCTGTCCCCCAGATCCAAATCAAATAGTTTCTAGACTGTGCTATATCCTTCCAAGTAGAGTATGGTCACACTTCTATTGTGGGCCAAGTTACAGTGAAGTAAAACCACAGTCATTGATGTAGGAATTTGCAAACAGATGGGCTAGTCTAGAATTTTCTCTTACTGAGGTGTTCTCCTTTCTCAGGAAAAGAGTGAACAGATGATTTGGGGACTCTGACTTCCCCCTTTTTACGATGCACATAAGTTACACACATCAGCATTACTAGAGGAAAAGGCAATAATTAACCTCTGGACTTTAAATGCAGAAAAAGTAAAAAGAACTATTTATAAATCGGAGTGAACTTTAACGCATGTTATACAATAAGAACAAATAAAACCCACTTTTTAAAAGACGCTGAACTAAAGGTAAATTGAAAATTTGTGATATGGAATTCTTTGCTTTCTATTTCCATTATTTCATTCATAAACCACAGGCAGAGGCACTCTCTCAGTACCACCAGCAGTCCACAAATATGGTGACAGTAATGCAGATCTTATTGTTGTTAAGCTTATATATTAAAATAACTACATTCCACTGTTTTTGAAAACTGAAATATGAAACAGCTAGCAAAATTAAATTAAAACAAGTATCCACCATTTTAAATGCTTTATATTTAAAAAAATATTGCAAAGCAAGATTAATACTGGTATACAAGTTGACTTTCAGAGAAGTCTGTTCACTTTTAGTAATCTTTTAAATAATGACACCCTTCAAAAGATTAGACTGAACCCCAGGGTTATTCTGAATAAAATCTGAAAACTACAACAGGAGTGGGAGATAAAGGAACTGCAGTGTTTGTGTGTGAAAGAGTGTGTGGAGGGGGAAGCAGCAGATGAAAGTAGCCCAATTGCTAGATTAAATAATAGATTTAATTTATAAAAATCACATCTATCAATTTGCCCTCTATATTTAGAAATACACAATTAAAGAGTAAATCTTTGGCTCAGTCAAATGTTCTGCATGCCTAGTGGATAAGCTGCCATATTGCACATCTGTGTTGCAGACTATAATTCGATACTTATCCCTGCCCGAGTGCCTTTCTGTAGGTGCACAACACAGCTTTGCTTAGCTGAAATAATGTGAGGACAAGAAGCCATTACCTCATTTGATGTTATACTTCAAAGCTTCATAGTCCTTTTTAGCAGCGCAATACAGGCCAAAAAAATTCATGCCATGTCCGAGAAAAGGCCATGGACGATCCACATAGTTTACACAAATACATTAACACAGATAACTGTCCCTAACTAAGCAGTATTGGTCCCTAATACTGTCCAAATGTTATACTTAAATCTGTGCAGTTCCACACCAATTAATTATATAGCACTGGAAGTCTTTCCAGAGATTACGGCAAGATCAAGTAATTTACCAACAATCTGAATTTTAATGATTCCTGACAGCCGATTATTTAACTGAATATGCACACAATTTACTTCCGAGATCTCCTACTGAAGTGCACTGAAACTGTACAACTGTAATATATTCCTATTAGAACTATAGAACAAAGAATTAAATATGTGAAATTCAGCCTTCCAGATTTTTGCAGCTCCAGGTTATATGTACTTCTCCTTGCCCCAGTTCCAGCTTTCCTAAGCTTTCTTTGACTTCTTCATCCATCTTCAAAGTTTCTGCTGTTTGCCCTCTTGGGGCTAGGCACCAAGTCCTAGAACCAGACTGTGACCTTGACAGTTGCAAGGGCCAAGCTGATAGTATCCTTTTGCCTTCGTGTTAGTTACCCCCTGCCCCTTTATTGTACATTTTATTCTATTATTACATCCACTGTATCCTTAGATATTTTATTACTATAGTGAACTAGGAAGAATGAATGGACAAACTGTTCCAGTTTCCACAGCTTAACAAACTAAGCATTGAAGTGGTTCTACTCCTACTTGACTGCCCAATATCCAAAGGCATTGCTGGGGCATTCTTGCTCTGTGTCATGGCAATTATGCCAGGGAGTACCATGGGATTCTGTTTTATCCCCTAAGCTATTTTACATCTACACGAAACTTCTGGAAGAGGTTATCTGGAGACATAGGCTTCAGAACTATCAATATGCATATGGGCTTTGCACTTAAATGGTGCCTGTTGCCAAGATGATTTCAAAACTAAGCACATTTTAGTAGGAAACACTCTCCCACCTCGGTATCCATTACATATAGGAGGAGTTGCCACCCATTCCCTCAGTTCACCAGGGACTGAGGGAGGATTAGCATGACTGACCTCAACATAGTCAAAGTTAATCTAGTATGGAAAGGAAGAAATAGATTAGCATATGACACAAAGTGGAGTCAGTGTGTGGGTTCTGTGAATGCATAGATGAGCCGTTGAAGAACAACAGTTAAAGGTAAACAACCTGTCTTTCTTCTTTGTGGTTCCTGTGCATCACACATATGGGCAACTAGAAAGATTATCTCTTCCTGGATGGTGAGATGGTGTCATCAATAATTTTAGGACTGCCCTCCTGAAAGCACGGTCTGATCTGGCATGAAGTTTGTAGAGCTTGACAAAGGTCGAGGGAGTTGACCAGAGGAATCCTAGCACTCAGAGAAGTCAAAGTTGTGATTGCTCTTGTAGAATGTGCCTTAAAACAAACTGGGAATTGCACCCAGAATGAATCTCTGAGCATGCACAGAGTGGTTTTTTTTTTTTTGAACCCAATCTAAGATTTACCTCCAGAAACACTCCTTATGAACATGCCTGGGCACCATCCCTTTGGGAGGGGTCTTCTGAAAGTGAGCATGCCTCTTCACTGTGCACTGATCCTCTAATAGGATAAGACTGCCCTCCTCTACTGTCTTGGGGTCAAGAGCCAGGACTGTCTGGCCTTTGTCTGAGAAACTCCCATGTTCAGGGTCCCTTCCCACCTGCCATCGATCTTGAATATTCCCATGGGCTGCCTCCTCACCTGAGCAGTCTGGTCTTTTGATAAGTGCCTCCACTTCTTTCACCTCTGTATGAAGCCTCCACCTATTCTGTATCCCATTCCAATTCAGATTCTTCTGAAGTCCAGCCAGTAGCGCTTGTGAACAAACGCTCAAAGCTGTCATCCTTCTCACTCCCAACAACAAGCTCATTTAAAACTCCTTTTCTGTCTTTCACACATGCATAGTAATGGTGGGAAGAGGTCCATAAGTGGCATGTGTGAAAGCAGTGTCAAGCCTTTGCTGCTGAGGAGCTTCCCCTATTAGGCATGCAGCTCAATCCACCCATTTCTTGATCACTCAGAGGCAGATTCATGTTTCATGCTGCTGTGTATTTTATGATTTTTTATGTTTTTAATCTGCAGAGATTTTTCCCCAGCGATTGTTTCTGTGCAGCTGAACAAATGTCTTGGCAGGGGGTTATTTATAAATGAAATGTAATTTATGTCTTTTCCTAACCTCTTCCCTCTTGAAATCTCTAGGTTATCTTAGAGCCCCTAAAGCTTCATTCATTCACTCTGGATTGGGTTTCTGGGTCTTTTTTCTCATTTCAGTGACCTTTTCATTCTATGAGTAATATAAGGACATATTTAACATTCTGTTCACACTGCTCCTCGCAGACAGGAGAAGAACAGAACAAGAGGGAATGAAAAAAGAAGTCCTCACAGTCACCATCACAGCACCAGCATAAGTCTCTTTCACCAGCTAGACCATTTAAAACTGTTTATAGCCACTCCATTTATCAGGATAGAAGGAAGGGCGACGTAAAATTGGAAGGTAGTGGGAGAGCAAGTAGAGTAGAAGAGTACTCTATTGCTTTAAAAAAAAGGTACCCAAGTTCCCAAAATGTCACAACATGGCAACCTTTGCCCAGAATAGAACAATGCATGATAGGAAACATCTAGAAGAAATAATATAGATGAAAACAGTTGAATTACATATATTCTACAGTTTTTCTAAGAAGTTAAGTGTGGTAGATGCTGTTCTCATCCCACTTTATCCTCACAACAACAATGTGAGATATGTTAGGCTGAAAGATAGGTTGCTTGATGACCTTCATGGCTGAATAGAGGTTTGACCTGGCTCTCCCTATCCTAGTCTGACACTCTGACCATACAGGATCTCATTTTAAAATTAATCAAAGGGATTTATTTATTCATTCATTCAGTAATTCCTAAGTGCCTGTGCAGAGCAACTCATAACAATTTAAATCAACTACAGAATAAAAAACTCTTATATTCAGTAAAAATTGCAATTAAAAATATGAAGGCATAAGCAACTTTTAATAAAATATAGAGCAAACAAAAGCTGCCTTATGCTGAGTCAGGCCATTAGTTTGTCTAGCCTGTTATTGTGACACTGCCTGGCAGTGGGCTCTTCAGGGCTTCACTCAAGAATTTTTTTAGTAGTACTTGAAGATGCCAGGTATTAATGCTTCTGCATGCAAAGCATGTGCTCTACCACTAGGCCATAGGACAGAATGGTCTGTAACAGTTAGGCAGCCAGTGAGAAGGACCTGCCTCTCTTCCATCAACTGTTCCTCTACTCTAAGGCATGATTTTAGGGAATGGGAAGCCAGGTGCTTATTAGTTATCCCAGATCCAAGCCATTTAAGGGTTTAAAGGTGATAACCAACATTTGGAATTTTTCCTAGAAGCAAACTGGCAATCAGAACAGATGTTGCAGAATAGGTGCAATTGGATCCAGACATAAACCACCAACATCCTTGCTGCTTCATTTTGGACATCCTGCAGGTTCCAAATATCCTTCAAAGATAGCCCCTTATGGAACATATTACAATAATCCAATCTTGCTGTGCCTAAGGCATACATTACCATAGGCAAGTCTTAATTTCTCTAGGAATGGATGCAACATGTG